GTCATTCTACCAAGAGGTGGACCCACTGAGCCTGACTGACAGTGAAGAACAGCATTTATCTTTAGTGTTCTCAAATCTGACTTCTTGGAAAGGCTTTTTCTCAAACATAGAAAAATGGGGTGTGTGTGGGGCGGGATATTCTAAATTCAGGTCTTCTGTGAAGTCAAAAGGCAGTACTTTTATCTCTAAGCTTAGCTGCAAGCAGCCCTCAGCTTGTAATTCTAATAACGTAAAAATTTAAAGCATGTCAATACATTATGTATTAGATAAAACAGAACTTTCTGAAGACAGAAAGATAAAATTATACACACCACCCCCCCACCCCCGAAAACAAACAAAAAAACCCCACTAAAGCCATTTCTGGTCAAGTAATGAGGAAAACATCCCATTCTATATAATTATAGATAATTATGTTGTAAAACTTGAATACTTTGGTTGGAATTTTGGGAGAGGCAGGCACTCTATTGTGAAACAAACCTTAAGAGATAATGCCAAATGTTACAAGCCTCTAATATTGCTAGCTATGCTGTCATGGCACTGTTTAAGTTTACCTACAACTTGTAACTGAGAGAAAATTCCTGTACACCTCACAGATGGAGAACTGCTTTGGAATTTGTTTGAAGAGGGTTATTATAGATGTTAAGGACAACTAGCTCCTAATCATGATGCATCCAAATCAGTTCTTGGCCAGGCACACTTAACGTGAGATTCCAGTTCTGATTTATAGAAATGCTTCACAAATCCAGTTCTACCAATTAAAACTGACAGGATTTAATACTAGAATGAAATAAAAATTAAGATGAGGCCTATTTAACTTCGGCCTTTCATAACCGAGCAGATGATCAGAGCAAGATGTGGCTATAATACACTAGCAGGTAATGTTAACGTGGATCTGCTTTTCTCTGATGTCTTACAATGAATATTCTGTTGCAGGAAGAAAGGTAAACTTCCATTTCAACATGGGATCGTTATGCCGCTTGATTAAAACCGGTAGCAGAACTACGGTAACCTGAAACACAGCGTTGTCTTTGGATACAAATTCAAGTAATTTCGGGCAAAACCCCTGGAAAGGCAACAACGTTGACAGATTTCCCATCTGAATCTACTTTCGGTGACTTCTACCCATCCAACCGAGCATGCCCAGGGGGTGCGAGGGCAGGTTTGAGGCTGGGGAAGGGGCTTCCCGGAGAGGAGGCACCGGCGGCGCCGGCCGGAGCTGTCAGGCTCATTGTTCGGGGACACCGCGCTCGGTACAGGCGACTGCGGGTAGGCAAGGGGGGTGTTTCATGGTGAAACTCCTTCTTGACACGAAAAGGAGCGTTTACCCTCTTCGGTTAGAGGAAACCCCCTCCTCTCACCCCGAAAAG